GTAGTCCGTGCATAAACTTTATTGAAAAAAATATCATATATGTTTAATTTATTATTAACAAAACTTTTACTTAGCAACAGCTAATTCTTGATAATAGCTTTTTTAAATGCACAAACGTTTCTAATTCTAGCTCTTAAAATTTGTTGCTTTTTTTTTCTCATTTGTGAGAAGTGTATACGTATTTATGCGCTAAACATCATTGGAAGACTTGTTTTGATATTCGATTCTTTGACAAGTCAGTGGAGTTTGTATAGCTCAGTTGGTTTTAGAGCTCTTTTTCCTATTAATTTGCAGTTCATTAAAAAAAACAGTAGTAACTAATCATTGTCTCAAATATTTTATACAAAAATAACTTTCAAATCAAAACGCATTATAAAACTAGAGGGGTACTCAGTAGAGCGCGTACTTCCTCGCGCATCGTTAATCCTAATCGGTTCTCAGAAAATACGAAAATGTGTCGGTATGTTAATCGTTATCAATGAATACGGACCATTTTTGGCCGGACAATGGGGAATAACATTTTACATGTGTTCAACAAGTTTTATCAAAATCTGAATATTTGTGACTGGGTTATAGAGAAAACACAGTGTGAAAAATCGGCCCCCATGTTAACATATAGGGATTTTTTTTCGTGGCCTTGCCATGACTTTGACTCTCCAAAAACTAATCACTTATAAGATGGATCATAATCCAAATGTGTACCAACTTTCATCTAACTTTATTCAACCGTTTTTGAAAAATCTTGTTGACTAACACACACACAGGGGTGGAAACATAACCTTCATTACCTTTTTGACAGAGGTAAGAAAACCAAAGAGACCATTGAGCTCTGATCAAAGACGCTTTAAAATGGAAAGTACACAGGGAGGACATATTAGCCATGGACCTAATCAGCCCCAGACAACAGGAAGCCTTTTCCAGACCCTGCAGCTAAACCCCAATGCGAACATCTTCAGTCCTGCAAGAAGTCACACTCCAGACAGAGTGTCAGCAATAGGGGTAATCTAATACAAAGGAATTCGATGGGAAGGCACCGTGGGAGGCATGTAAAGCTCAATTTGAGATTCTGGCAGAACTGAATTGATGGGCAGCGGAGCAGAAAGCAGTGTACCTGGCAACGAGCTTGAAAGGATAACCACTAGAAATACTTGGACAATTGTCAACAGATGACAGGCATAACTATAGACCACTGGTAGCTTGTCTAGAACTCAAGTATGGAACTCAAAATTAGTCTGTAGTCAACAGGGCTAGGTTTAGGACGAGAGTCCGGCTAAAGGAGAGAGCCCGCAAGAGTTGGCAAAGGACTTGGAAAGTATGGCACACAAGGCCCACCCAACTGCACCACCCGATATCCTTAAGCTGTTGCTCAGGGATCAGTTTGTAGATGCCTTGAACAGTCCACAACTAAAGATACAAGTAAAGCAAGCACATCCCTCTACTATGCAGGATGCAATGGCCAGAGTCCTGGAATTCGAATCCTATGTTTAGTCCAGTACAGCAGTACCAAGGTTGGTACAGTCATCGGGATTCAAGGCCAGGAAAGGACAGCTTTCAGAGAAGTTTGAGGGTCTTTGCTGCCACTGTAATAAACCTGGGCACAAGAGAGCTCAATGTTGGCAACTTCAACTCAGGGGAGACGCCACAGCAAGAAAGGTTGCTACACAGAAGGGTTGTTGGAACTGTGGAGAGCAAGGACATACGAGGAGCCAATGTAAGAAGAATATTACCAATAAGTCAGCCTCAAAGAAACCAGTAGTGGTTGGAGCTGAGGGACGCCCACCAACCCCAATTGTGAAAGTCCCAACAGCTAAGTGTAAAATGCCAAGCACACATAGTGTCTACATGACAGGAAAGCTGGATGGCCAAAGGTGCAACTTTGTCATAGATTCTGAATCTCAGCAAACCCTTGTGAATATCAAGATGCTAGATCACAAAGGAGTACAAGAAGCTCTGTGGTGTGACAGGACATTATGCAAGGTTGTGGGGACCAGTGTGGGTGACTATTGAGCTCATGGGCGTGAAGGACAGACACAAAGTATACTTGGCTGACATTGAAGACCAATGCATATTAGGGTTGGACTACTTACTACCGAGGAAGTGTGTGGTTAACGTCGATAAAATGACGTTTGGGAACAACAAAGGCGAAATTCCGGTAAGTGTTGCTGCATCTGTTGATTTGCATGTCACAGAACTTAAGTCAACTACAACACCCCTATGACAGAGACGATAATTTGGGGTAGAATAAAAGAACATCCCCAAGGAAGACCGTTGCTTGTGGAATTAGTGGAAGACCCATCAAGGCCAGCCGACGTGAAGATTGGAAGGTCACTTATGGAAGGTCATCAAGTAGTACCCATAACAGTAGCTAATTTATCTAAATATGAGCAGAGACATAGGGAAGGGGCATTATTGGGTTTGTGCCAGAAGGTAGAGCCAATCAATGTTAAGGCAAGAAATACAACCAAAAGAAAGGATATCATCTCCCAGAACATT